ATATGCATCCATTTAGCTATAAATGTCTCTAGTTTCTCATTCTTTATGGCTGAGTAGTACTCCATTTTATTAAAAAAACACATCTTCTTTATCCAGTTTCCAGTTGATGGGTACTTGGGCTGTTTCCAAGCTTCTAAAGCCATTCTTATAATCCTAATGGGGGGAGGCCATAGGTTTTGTGCATAAGCACCTTTCGCATTCATATTGTGGAAAGTTAATAAGCTTAGTGAGGTAGTCTGTCACAGTGAGCCTTCATTTTTCCCAAAGTGAAAGCATTTGAACATTAGCTGCAACTCTCCATGGATTTCTATTTCTCCTTTTTCTGGAATGGTGCTGCCAATAGAACTTTCTGATAGATGGACTCTGTATCTGTGCTGTCATAGATGATAGCCACTAGCCACATGTGCTACTACTGAGCACTTGAAATGTGTGAGAAACTGAAACTGTAAATGTAAACACATGTGGCTAGTGGCTCTCATGTATTAGACTGCGTAATCCATAATCCTGTAATTGAGTGCCCTTGTTCTGTAAGGAAACTTGAATGCTAGCTGTTTAGGGTTGGGGTGGGCATTCACCAGTGGGTTTGACTTCACTGGTAAGTTCGTCTTCTGAATCTGGGGTTGCTTTGGCCTCTGGAAAATGCCTCCCTTACTTTTTCTTTTGTGAGCAATGGGGCTCAAGTGGCTGGCTTGAACACATTTGGCAGTTAAGGGCATAGGATTTAACTCTTTCCAGGTTTAGAGGGATTCATTCCCATCCTAGACAGTGACCCAAATCCATGGGTGTGTGGTATCAGAGCATAGAAAACTTCAACTTGCTAAGTGAACTACTGCAAAGAAAACTGCTTCTGAGGAGGGTGCTACTGCCCACTGCAACATGCTTGGTTTGTCTTCTCATGAGATCCTGGAATGTGAACGCAGAGTGGCAGAAGCTGGGGCAGAGGTGGTGTTGTGGGATTTACACAGGAAGATATCACTTATGCAAGTGCTCAAGTACTTGTGAAAGATTAGAGTCAGCCCTTTCTCCAATTGTAATTAGCTGTTTCAGTGAGACCTTAAAGTCTGAGCTCTTTCACCAAATAAGTTGATGCTCCGACGAGTGAAAGAAAGGAATAAACCAGGAATAGCACTGGAATGTCAGACCTAAATGATACAAGCTTTTCTCTTGTTCATTTAAAATAATACATCACAGGCACTTAGTGCAGAAGTGCTGAATTGGTATAAATTATACAGATATGTACATATAAATATATTAAAAATGTATTTTGCAATATTGAGGATCAAACTTAGCACATGCTAGGCAAGTCCTCTACACTGACCTACACCCCAAACCTCAAAATATAAATTAAAAAACTTAGATGATAGTATAGCCATTTGCATTAATATGGAAGTTTCTAG